TGCTGTAGTGCCAGTCGGGGCCAAAGAGACCAAGGGAACCAGTGAACAGATGAGGACGACTGTAAACCCGTTGATTCCTGCAATGAAATGAAAGAAGGAAAAAAAATGAATACAATTAATACAGTTAATAATCAAGGCTCTACATCAATTCTCAGAACGTCCTGGATTTTGCTATGTACTGAATCCCTAAGTGTTGCAGAGGGAGGAGGAAGCGTGGAGCAAGGCATACCCACCCGTGTGGAGCTTCATGGCGGGGAGCAGCGGAGGTGCCACGAGCTCGCTGGGGCTCAGGCTGCTGGAGCGCTGGGGATGCCGAGGGCCGGGCCGTATTTAACTACGGAGGAGGCCTGCGTCAGTGACTCCCCCATGGTTTTTTCTTTCCTTTTTTTTTTCTCTTTTGGGCAGATGATACTTTGGGTTTTTTTTTTCTTTTTGGAAGATTACATCAGAATCTCAAGTGCGTATGCGCTGATTGTGATCTAGAATATGGTTTCAAACTTACAGAGGTGGTGTCCCGTTATCGCTTTGGTTAGGGGTTCGGGACCCTTGGCTTCGCCGTCCCATCCGCGTCGTTGGGATATCCAAAGCGGAGCTCTTGGAGCACGGGCTCTGTCTTTGACAACCTGCTGGGGCCCCAGCAGCAAACACAGAGCTGGAGCACCAAGCCAGCAACCTGCTCCTGCAGGGCTTGCCGGGCTGCCAACGGCAGGGAAAAGGCAGCACGTGGTTCATATGGAAGGTCAACATATGCATTAATTCCCTGGATCTCTATTAAACCTTGGTTCTCCATGCAACCCTTTTGCATAACACAGTGGAGAGCACCCAGCTCTCAGCACCCATCGCTGCCACCTTCCCTTGTAACTGGGATGAAGCTGTTGTCTTCAGCAGTGACTAGATGCTGAGTATTCTCATATGCAGCAAAGTAGGGTGAAAAATCAGTCCTAGGACCTGTGGGCAAGAAGCTGAGATCAGCAGAGGACCTGCAGAACTACCAGAGTGTTGTGACAAAAACAAAAAGAAGTCCCCATGAATGCTCCTTTGTGAAAGTATTAAGCGATAGGCGCTTACGGGTCCTTCCTTGCTCTGAGATAGGAGAAGAACCTGAAAGGCCGTGATAGAGCCAAGGTGTGCAAAGTTACCAAAAAACTGCAGGAACAATATTTTGGTGTCAAAATACTCAGTTCTTTCTATTTCCCATGCATGTTGGAAAAAAAAAAAAAAAAAAGACAGAAACTAAGAGGCTCGGTGTGTGCAGAGTGTCTGGGACGAGTCACAGCTGGCCCTGGACAGCCCCAGGCAGCCCCTCCACAGAGGCTGCCCATGGGGCTCTCTCACCTTCTCCAGGACGGAGCTGGTCTTTAAGGTTTGATATAGGACGACGCTTCCCCCATACTACATTGCACTCTCATCCCCTCATCCGATAACTCCACGGCTTTGGGAGGAGGTTGAATTCCTTGTCGCACAGCCCATTGAATCACAGAATCATTACAGTTGGAAGAGACCTTCAAGATCCTGGAGTCCCTCTGTAAAACCTTCACCCCCCCTGCCTGCTAAACTGTGTCCCTAAGTGTCCTTAAGAGTCTCACCTACACATTTCTTGAACAGCGCCAGGGATGGTGACTCCACCACTTCCCTGGACAGCCTGTTCCAAGGCTTCAGCGCAGGAATTTTTCCTAATATCTAACCTGAATGTCCCCTGGCGCAGGTTGAGGCTGTTTCAGTAGTTATTTTGGAGAAGAGATCAACCCCCATCTTAGTCATGAAATAATTCAAAGGAAGAGAATGAATTATCTTAACCTAAGATACGAAGCAACAGCTCTGTAGTCTAATGGAGAGAAACAAGAAAACAAAAGCACTGTTCTGGCAAAGGCTTTTTATATTATTATTATTTTGGGCTAAAAGGGGGAGAGAGGTGCTCCTTTGTGCATTGCCCTTAAGGAAAATCCCCACAGTGCAAGCAAGGGATATGGCAAAGGGAAAAGGTGCGTGAGCTGGAGCATCATGAGCTATTCCCATCCAGCTCTTCCTGCAGCCAGGGAGGACAGCTCGAGGAATCGTGGATGGGTTTTCCTCCCCATGTGGGGAATATCCAGTGCAGGGAATATCCATTAGCTCCTTTTTCCAAAGGGCAGCAGCTTCCCCGCCGCAGCCTCCTGCGCGTGAGCTCTGCACGTCCTTTCTTGCTGCTGCGATAAGCGGCTGAGCTGATAAGGCAGCCGGTGGCATCCGTCCTGCGAGTGGAAGTTCAGCCCTCCAGCACGTAACCGCCGGCTGCCGCAGCGCTCCGGGCAGCCGGTGCCCGCGGTGGAATTTGTCACTCTTGCCTCAACATCCCGTGCTGGAAAAAGCAACTAAGCCTCAGAGCCTGGAGACCTGCAGGTGACCGAGGCAGAACCAGGGTCCTGCAGTGTTTTTCCAGGTGTAAGGGAAGGGACTTTTCGCGATAAAGTCCCTTTTCTGATGGTGCGATGTGGCCGTGGCGGTTCCTGCGCCTGCGGGAACCCTGCTGTTTTTATAACTAACGGCAAAAGAGAGACCCATTTCCTGCCTCGAATCCGTGTGCTTC